AGGCACACACGGAGCCAAAGGTGAAGTCTCCGTGAAGGTGGGAGCAGCTCAGCTCTCCCCAGTCTGGAGCACTGAGCACCGGGCAGGTGATGGCTGCAATGGGAGAGCAAGTCTCAGAGACAGGAGAGATGAGGTTAAATCTAAGGGTAAGGGCTGAATCCAAATCAAAGGAAACCAAAGCTGCGGTCATATGTCTTCAGCTTGCCTTTCTCACCCAGACTCGCCTCTTCAAAAACAGTAGTTGGTACAATGCTTTTTCTGCCCTACGAGTGATTTGCTGGGGGGCACACAATTGCTGCTCTGCAAGAGCCCTGTTTATCCCTTGCACTACCCTGGGTTGAAGGCCCTGGGATGTAGGACCACACCTGCTGCAGTCTACTTGCCTCCCTACCTTTATTGGAGCAGAGACCTGGCTCTATCCTTGTCACAGTGGCAGGGGAATGGCTTTGGGGCTGTAGAGAACCAGATGGGATGACAGCAATGGCTACAAGGGTTGTGTGCCAGCGTCCTCAGGCTGTGGCCAGGATGTGCTTTGCTGCATGCCAGGGCAGCAGCCAGCATTTGCTGGGGTGAGTGGCTCTGCTGCCTGCGGGACCACTGCAGGTTAGTGCCGGGAGGACATTTAACAACCCCATCACCCAGCCCAGCTGAAACACACCCCATCCACTGTACCTTTGGCTTTCAGACCAACACCAAACACTCTCCTAGGCAGACTTTTCCTTTTGTAGCTATTTTACAGGCAAGACTGGTTTCCCACAGAATTCCCAGAGGTGTCTATTGGTGAACATGTCATGTGGATTGGGAGCAAGTGACCCAGCCCCTTTTGGGGCCAGCCAACAATGACAATGCAACAGCTGCAGGCAGGCAGGCACAGGGCAGGTTTGAGACAGGGCAGGCAGCCTTGTCCTTCACAGCCCTCACAGCACCATCAGCCTCACCACAGCAGGAACCTCTGCTCGTTTTTGGAGTAAGCCCAACTGGCAATGCTTACTAACACTGCTTTGTTATCACAGGCAACCGTCTGACTCATCCGATTCTTCGCAAGAAACAAGAATCAATCATACAAACAGCCAGCAGAAAAAAAACAACGGGCTGGGAAAACAAGACTCTGGGAACTTGAAAAGCCTGGAGCAGGCAGGCACAGCCCAGTTTGCCTGGGGGGACTTCCACAAAATTGGGAGCCAGCTCCTGCCCCTGCTGGGGATGATGACTACAGAGAATCACATCACAGCTCCATGACTGTTGCTCTTAACTGCAGAAAGTTTTGTTGGTCTCAGGTGCCTAAAGTAAGCACCAGGTTGGACTACAGGCACACCTTTCACAGGCATCACTGGCAGCACTAACTTCAAGGCGAGTCTTCTTTTTTAAGAATATATGTACAGAGATGCTGTTTGGCCCCTGACAGCTTCTGCTGGGTCTCCCAATAGAAGGGTCCCCAGTTGCGTCCCATGTCTGCTCCAGTCCTTGGCTCATCCCATCCTTGTGCAAGGCTGCAGCACAGGAAAGGTGGAGCAAGGCTCTCACATTCCCAAAGAAGACCAGCACTTCCCTGGGATGCGTGGTGCCTGGCTGCAAGCCCTCAAGCCGCCAACAGGAAGACTTTCCCTGCCCCTGCAGTGTAACACACCACAGCTTTCTCTCCTCTGTGGCTTCCTGCCACACTCTGTCCCTCCCAGTTTATATCTAACCTCATTTCATGGGTTCTTGTCCCCACTCAAGGTGGCTCAGTGTGGCCTGCCAGGATACCCCCTTCCCCTGGCTGCAGGACAGTAGCCCTTCTTTTTTCTGAGGACCTCCAAGATGCCAAGCACCTTTCCAAGGCAGATGAGGGTGGGCTTGGGGAGATGAAGACTGTGCCACTGGATTGACAGAGGTGCTAAGATACCATCCTGAGCCCTTGCTTAGTGCACACAGGGTGCTGACACCTGGGTGGAATTCAGGACAGCGAGCAAGGGCACTGGGACAGCCAGGCAGAGCAGAGGGCTTATTTAGAGCTCAAAGCTGCTCTGCCCATTGCAGCCTCATGAGGGAATCGCCTCCCACATGCAGCACCAGGAGATGCTTCCACAAAGGGCAGGGCATGGCAAGACTTGCCTGAGCAGCATTGGGCACATAGCGCTGGTCCCCCCAAAGCATCAGTGCCATATCCCTGAGACTCCCAGGCCCTGAGAGGTCCTACCTGTGCAGATGGGGATGTCTGCTGACCATTCCTGGGAAGGCAGGCACCACAGTGTGCCCATCCCTTGCTGCTTGAACCCCTCCTGGCACCCAAACATGCAGGTGGAGTTGTAGCTGAAGTTTCCGTAGGGATGGCTGCAGTTCATGTGCGCTCCCTTGGGCTTCAGCTCAGCACACTGCACAACTGGGAGAGACACATCACTGCCAGCCCATTAGGAGCACAGGGAACTTGCCCAGTTTGCCACCAAGGCTCAGGCTCTCCAGCAGGGAGGGAAGGATGGGTATGGATGGCTCACCATACTGGCACTCG